TGATCCACTCACCTCGGCCTCCCAAAGTGCTAGGATTACAGGCGTGAGCCACTGCGCCCAGTCCTGAAATCAAACTTTCAAATAGTTTCTTAGTGATGAAGCATCTAACTCCTTCTTTTTTTCTTTTTATGAGACGGAGTCTCACTCTGTCACCCAGGCTGGAGCACAGTGGCACAATCTCAGCTCGATGCAAACTTCGCTTCCTGGGTTCAAGCAATTCTCCTGTCAGCCTCCCAAGTAGCTGGGATTACAGATACCTACCACCACACCTGGCTAATTTTTGTATTTTTAGTAGAGATGGGGTTTTACCAGGTTGGCCAGGCTGGTCTTGAACTCCTGACCTCAGGTAATCCACCTGCCTTGGCTTCCCAAAGTGCTGGATTCCAGGCGTGAGCCATCGCGCCCTGCCTGCTAAGTCCCATTTCTAAATTCGCACCAAGGTCTGCTTGGAGAGGATTCTGGCTGTCCGAGCTCCTGGGCGAGGCCAGTGTCAGAACTCCACAATAATTCTCACTCCGGAGCAACTCCACAGAAAAACTCTGCAGCAAGCACAGCTGATATTTTGTGTCCGATCACAGCAGAAAGGAACAGACCAACTCAAGCAACAGTCTTTCTTCCAGTTATATGCAAATAATTTCAAAGTTGTGCAAATCAAAATTAAAATCCCAAGGCCTCCCAATCATCTGAAAGACTGGTTCAGGCCAAGATGGGAAGAGGGGAGTCAGGCACGCCTCATTACCTCCTCCTCCCTTTTGGAATTCAGGAAAAGCTCACCAGCATTTAACATCAACACTGCCTTTAAGTTACAGGTGGCTCACACCTGTAATCCCAGCACTTTGGGAGGCTGAGGTGGGTGGATCATGAGGTCAAGAGATTGAGACCATCCTCGCCAACACAGTGAAAACCCGTCTCTGCTAAAAATACAAAAAAATTAAGTGGGCACAGTGGCGCATACCTGCAGTCCCATGTAATCAGGAGGCTGAGGCAGGAGGATCGGATTGAACCCAGGAGGCAGAGGTTGCAGTGTGAGATCACTGTCACTGCACTACAGCCTGGTGACAGCCAGATTCCATCTCAAAAAAACCCAACAATCTATTCTCTCTCTGAAGCCTCCAACCCAGAGGCTTCATCTGCATGATAAAACATTGGCTTCCACAACCTCTTATTGTAACTTCAACATTCCTTTCTTTTAATAACTCTTTCAACCAACTGCCAATCAAAAAAAAAGTTAAGAGGGCTGGGTGTAGTGGCTCATGCCTGTAATCCCAGCACTTTGGGAGGCCGAGTGTCAGACTGCTTGAGCAGAGGGCTTCAAGCCCAGCTGGGCAACACGGTAAAACCCTGTCTCTACCAAAAAAATACCAAAATTGGCTGGGTGTGGTGGTGCAAAAGTTTTCTTTGAGACAGGGTCTGTCGCCCAGGCTGGAGTACAGAGGCACAATCTCAGCTCACTGCAACCTCCTTCTCCTGGGTTCAAGTGATTATCCTGCCTCAGCTTCCTGAGTAGCTGGAATTACAGGCACCCACCATCATGCTCCGCTAATTTTTGTATTTTTAGTAGACAAACAGGGTTTCACCATGTTGGCCAGGCTAGTCTTGAACTCCTGACTTCAGGTGATCCACCTGCCTCAGCCTCCTAAAGTGCTGAGATTACAAGCACGAGCCACTGCGCCCAGCAGAAAAAAAAATTTTTTGAAACCTACCTCTGACCTGGAAGCTCCCACTTCAAGTTGTCCCGCCTTTCTGGACCAAACCAACGTGTGCCCTAAATGCATTCGATTAACGCCTCACGTCTGTCTAAAATGTATAAAACCAAGCTGTGCCCTGACCACCTTGGGCACACGGTCTCAGGGTCACCTGAGGGCTGTGTCACAGGCCGTAGTCACTCACATTTGACTCAAAAATAAATCTCTTCAAATATTCCAGAGTCTGACTTTTTTCATCAACTGTGGTTCAATGTCTCATTCAACTTTTGATTCTAAATCCGTGGGGGTCCTGGGACTCTGCCAGGGCCGCTAGTGACTCCTTGTAAACACACGGCCCAGGAGGGCAGCCCAGACTCCTGGAAACCAGCAGCAGTTCACGGAAACTTTCATCTCTAAAAACCCCCACTCTGTCTTCATCATACTGCTGGTCTGTTACCCTCAGTAAAATAGTTGAGAAAGTAAATACTAGAAAGTTTCTAACACAGAAAGTCAAAAAGTTTTAAAATTGCATATTATTCAACTATAAAGAAACATTTCTAAACTGTGATTTAGGTTCAAATTCAAATTTCTCAGTCTCACCCCCTTTCATTCAGTCCTAGGTGATCATAACCTGCTCTCCAACTCCTAGAAGCTGGCTTTTCTCCTCTCAAGGACCCCACTGCCCTTTTTAGTCACACTTGGTCAGGACACGCAGGTGTGGACTCCTCAGGGAGCCTTTTCAGAAGATGCAGTTTCCAGTTCCAGGCCCGATTTCCTAGAGGCCCTAATATCACTAACATTGAGCTTAGTGTTAGATATAGTGAACCCAAGTTTCTCTTCAAAGAGTATGTATGAGCCGGGCGCGGTGGCTCAAGCCTGTAATCCCAGCACTTTGGGAGGCCGAGGCGGGTGGATCACGAGGTCAAGAGATCGAGACCATCCTGGTCAACATGGTGAAACCCCGTCTCTACTAAAACTACAAAAAAATTAGCTGGGCATGGTGGCACGTGCCTGTAATCCCAGCTACTCAGGAGGCTGAGGCAGGAGAATTGCCTGAACCCAGGAGGCGGAGGTTGCGGTGAGCCGAGATCGCGCCATTGCACTCCAGCCTGGGTAACATGAGTGAAACTCCGTCTCAAAAAAAAAAAAAAAAAAAAGAGTATGTATGTTCAGCTCTCTTATTTTTTAATTCCCTATCTTAAAGTTTAACTTCCTTGTAATTCCAGTAACAACCTTGTCTACCAGTTCTAATCAGTACTTCACATCTTCTCCCCACCCCCACACCCTGACTCATCCCAGTCACCTGCTCCAGTCACCTTCTTTGACCTAGGTCACCCCTGGCTACCTGCTCTGACCTGCTGGTAACCGTCCTTCCCGCCAAAACACCCACCCTGCCCCTCCAGCTGGGACCCCGGCTCTCTTTAAAACAGCCCCTCGGGATTAGTCTAGCTCGTGCGGTCTAACCCTAGCCAACAGGGAAACAACACAGCAGCAGGGACAACCCCGTCAGGCATAAGTAGTCCTACCCGCCTTGTCCAACCGTGTGGCCTCCATTGCTCCACCCGTGGGCTGAACCCTTCTATAGAAGCAAACTGCCTTGCTGAGAGGATTTATCTTCAAGTGCTATTTCTTTTGTGGCATCGAGATTTTACTTATAACATTTGCCAATACTGTAAGCAATAAAATTAAATAAGGGATCCAAATGCAAAGTCTAAAAATTTGGGTAAACTGAGTATTCTGACTCAACACTCTCTTCTCTGAATATCAGATAAGTATAAAATTTCGAGTATAACACATTTAAAATGAGCTTGCTTTTATTTTTATTCAAAATGCACAGCTTTATTTTCCTTACCAGAGCCACACATGAAGCACGTTACAGTCATGACTTCTTCAGTGCGCTCCAGGGCTGCCATAGGATTTCCAGGAGCTCCTGGCCAGAGGAGTCCTGAGATTTAAAATAGTAAAGCTTTCTCCACAGCCTCAAGTTCCTTTGATGTTTGGGTTACTGAACACAAACTGAATAGATAATTTGTCCTCAACATAATCCACTTCTGTTCCTCAACGTGGTTAGCCGTGCTTTCTTTTCGATGAGCACTCCAACGTGAACTTCGTCGAAATCTCTGTCTTCGTTATAAGAAAGGCCAGTACAGACCCTGCTTTGGACACCAACTTTCACACCTAGATGCTAAGGTTGATCTTTACGCTGTTTTATCTAGTTTCCTGCTGAAGGGTGAGGGCGGCCCGGGGGGTCTGAAGCTTCCTTTTGCTCAGAGGCCGGTCAGTGGCCGGGACTAAGGAAGCCGATCTCCTCACGGTCCTCCTGGACTAACTCCAGCCCCAGGCACGACCGCTGTCTCCGTGGACACGGCAGGCGCATTCATGAACTTGATTTTAAACCTGCATAAGAGTCTTTCTGATCATTAGTTATTAAAATCCTACATTACCATGGAAATATCGTGGCGACTATAAGGCTCCCCTTAAAGTGGGGAAACTGAAGAGGCGTAGGATCCTGAAATCTCACAGAAATACAGGGAAATGGCTAAAAGAAGCAATGTCAACGCAGGGAACCACAGAAGAGCGTTTAAAGACTACCAGGGAAGAGCCCGCAAAATGGAAAAACTCAAAAGAGGTCAAGAGGACAATTTACATAATTTATAACAAAGGAAGGGAACGTCCCAGGCGCTCAGGAGTCTGTAAATGACTCCTCCTTCCCAGGGGGAATGCGATGTCCCCACAATCGCAAGTGGGCCCGTGCCTTCTGGAGTTTTTCTAAATACGTCCTTTACAAATGCTTCTTTAAAAAAACAAAAAGGCGAGAACGTGTGGCGTAGCTGATATTCCGTCTTCAAACTCAATAGGAAGTCAACAAAGAAAAATCCCGGCTGAAAGCGCTAGGGCCGGCTGGGTTCCCCGCCCCACCTCTAGGTGAACGGTGCCCGGGGCTCGCCACCGTGGAGTGTCGGGGACGCGGCGCCCCGGGCCGGCGGGCTCTGCCCGGCGTTATGTAATCACCCCGAGCCGGGCAGCCGGGCCAATCCCGGCGCCGCCGACCCGCTCCACTGCACAGCGCGGCGGGAGCGACACGAGCAGCGCGCGCGGCTGGGAAACGATTCGCGGTTCAGGGGCCGGGAGGACCCGGCCCCGGCCCGGCCTCTCCACCCGTCCCCTGGGCCGCGCCCCCGCTCCCGGAGCGTCCGGCGGGCCCAGCGCATCCCACAACGGGCGGGCATGCGAGATCGACGCCCACCGCGCAGCACCCGGGGCAGGGCCTGGGCTGGGAGACCCGCGAGCCGCCCCCGCCCCCGCCACACTCACTGTTGTACTGCACCCCCTTGGCGAAGCGCCTCTGTAACGCCTGGTTCATGGACTGCAGCCCGGCGGGAATGTTCTTGTCCCGGCCCGGGGCCTGCTCCGACCCCACCAGCTTCTTCAGGGCGGAAAACATCTTCCCGCTCGGACGTCCCAGCCCGGGTGCGGCCGGCAAGCTCAGCGGCGGCGGGGAAGCGGCGCGACTCGCACCATGTCCCGGCGGCCCCGGCCTCCCCGGAGGCCGGAGCCGGCACGGCCAGAGGCCGGGGTCCCGGCGGTGGAGCGCGGCCTCGAGCGGCGGCTCGGGAACCTCAGCCGCGACGGCTCCGCTCCGGCCCCCGCGGCCTCAGGCACGGCCGCTCTCCAGGCGTCAGCGCCGCCATCTTGGCGCCGGCTCTGCGGGACGCGGGGGGCGCGAGGCTACGGGGCGCCGCGAGGGCCACGGGCCGCGGCGCGCGGGCGGCGCATGCGCGGGCGGTTGTGGCGCGCAGTTCCCGGCCCGGCCGTCTGCTCCCGCCGAGCCTCCCGCGCCTGCGCGCCCCGGGCTGCCCCCCGAGACCCCTGCCGCCCCAGCGCCCGCAGCGTCCTGGAAAATGTTTATTTGTGTAACAAAGTGGGGAGCGGGCCGGGCGGGGCTACTTCTTCTTCTTCCTCGCCGCCTTGAGCTTCCCCTCGATCAGCCGCTGCGCCCGCCTCTTGATCTCGGCGCGCGACGGGACGTAGCTGTGGTCCGCGTCCGCGAACTGGAAGCTGTCTGCGGGCGGAGGCGGCGGCTCGCACGCGCTTCCCGGGGCCCGGCCCGCCTCTCACGCCGCCCTCCGACCCGGGCCGGGCGCCCTGCGCCGGGGACAGCCCCTCCTCAGCTGCTGGCGCTGCCCTGCCTCGTCCTTCCGCGGAACCCCGCGGAGGCTCCGGCCCAGGCCTTCCCCGCGCTCCTCCCCGCTCCCGCCGGCCTGTCTGCCATGGCACGCCCCTCCTTTCGGAGAAACGAAGTATAAGTTATTCCAGTGGCTTCGTCCTCCTCCCAGGGCATCACTGAGTCTCCTCCATCAATCAAAGTCCCGCAGGTACAACGGACGCGCCCTGTAGCCCTGCTGTCCCTCCCGGTGTCCTGGTGGGAGGGGAGCCAGGGTCTCGCCCCAGCCACCCGAGGCTCGTACCGATCATGTCCTCCTCCCGGTCCTCGAAGCTGATCCTGGTGTTGTATTTCTCCTTCAGGGTCGAGGACTCCAGGACGTCCCTCACCTTCGTGTTGGCCTGCGGGACAGAGCCCCCTTCAACCGTGCACACACTGAACCGGGCGCTGTCAGCTTTGAGGGGGCGTGGGCTGTGCAGGTTCCTCCCAGCCCGGGGCTACCTCCTCCGTCCTGGACACCGTCTGCACTTTGTCAGCCAGGTACGTGAGCTTCCCCTCGCAGTACGCCAGCTTGCTGTACAAATCCAGGGTGTCGGAGGACACCACTTCTCTCTGCAGGTGGGTAGGAGGGTCTCATCTCCCCTGTGGCCCTGCCCAGGGACCCTGTGTACGGCAGCTCCGCCCCACTCCCGGCACCTGGGCGGAGGGCAAGGGGATGCCCATCAGCCGGGCATAGAGGTTGTCCACGCCCATCTGGATGGTCAGCAGCAGCTTCTGGCCCTTGGTCGTGTTGCTGTGCATGTGCTGCAGCCTCTCTTCTTCCTCTTTCAACATGTCTGTCATCTTCTTCTCAAGGGCCTTGAAGCTGCAGAGGGCAACAGGGACACAGCAGTGAGGGGCACAGGCCCGAAGGCCACCCAGGAGCCGGGTCCTGAGTTGGGTGCTGTGCTAAAGTCAGGGACTCAGAAGCTCAGGTGTGGGCAGGTGGAGTCCCCAGCCCCTCTGTGGGACACACAGGCTTGTTAGCAGTGAGTACACTCCCAGCTCCCAGCCTGGCTGCAGCCCAGGGGCCTTCGTGGGACCCTGGTGGGTGGCCCGCAGCCCCGGAAGCCGGGAGCACCTGATGGAGCTGGGCCTCTGGTGGAACTTGAGCACAGCCTCCTCCAGCTCCAGCTGCTTCAGCAGGGCCTTCAGCTGCAGGCGCCGCTCCTCGCAGTCCTCCAGCTGCAGCTCCAGGTTCTCCTCTGTGTTCCTCTGGGCCAGGAAGCGGCCAGCAATGTCCTGGCCAGGTCGGGGCAGGGAGAAGCAGGTGTGGGCCAGGAAGGCAGGCACAGGGGGCTTCACAGAACTGGTTTCTACTGGGCCCCCCCCAGAGGCTAGGGCACATTCTCTGCACTCATTAACAAGTGCGTCCACAGCTCATTGCAACCTCAACCTCCCAGACTCGGGCAGTCCTCCCACTTCAGTCTCCTGAGTAGCTGGGACCGCAGGTGTGCGCCACCATGCTCAGCAGAGGTGAAGCGCTTGGTGGGTGTCATTGCATACGACCCTCATGGCAGGCAGAAAGGGTAGATAACCCCATTTAGAGATAAGGAGACCATCACTGAGGGACACTGTGTCACTTTGAGTCCCTTGTCTGACCAGACTAGCTTGTCAGGGCAGTGGATGGGAGCTCAAGGCCTAGTTATGATAAACCCAGGGCCGAGTGCAGTGGCTCACGTCTGTAATCCCAGCACTTTGGGAGGCTGAGGCGGGTGGATCACTTGAGGTCAGGAGTTCCAGACCAGCCTGACCAGCATGGTGAAACTCCATCTCTACTAAAAATACAAAAAAATTAGCCGGGCATGTTGATGCACGCCTGTAGTCCCAGCTACCTGGGAGGCTGAGGCAGGAGAATGGCTTGAACCCAGGAGGCAGAGGTTGCAGTGAGCAGAGATACCGCCATTGCATTCCAATCTGAGCAACAAAGCAAGACTCCATCTCAAAAAAAA